TTGACCTGATAGAGTTGTTGTTTCAGATAAGCCCCCAGGGGGACAACTTGAGGCACTGTCTCAAAAAAAAAAAAAAAAAAGTTAAAGTTTATGAACTAAAAAAGTTATGGTAAGCTAAGGTTAATTACTGAAAAACATATTCTTATATACATTTAGCGTAGCCTAAGTGTCCAGCACTGATCTGGTCCAGGGAACAGTCATGTGCTAGGCCTTCACGTTCACTGGCCACTCACTCCCTTACTGACCCAGAGCAACTTCCAGTCCTGCAAGCTCCATGTGTGCTAAGTGACTAGTGGAGGTGCACCATGCTTTATCTTTTACACAGTATTTATACTGTAAATGTGCTATGTTTTGGTATGTTTAGATACACAAATACTGCTGTGTTACAACTGCCTACAGGATTCAGTACAGTAGCATGCTGTATAGGTGTGCAGCTTAGGAACAAAAGGCCACATAGCCTAGGTATGTAGCAGGTGACACCATCTACATCAGTGGTTCTCAACCTTCCTAATGCCACGACCCTTTAATACAGTTCCTCATGTTGTGGTGACCCCCAACCATAAAATTATTTTCATTGCTACTTCATAACTGTAATTTTGCCGTTATGAATCATAATTCATATATCTGATATGCAGGATATATTTTCATTGTTACAAAGGGGTCGTGACCCACAGGTTGAGAACTGCTGATCTACGTCAATATAAATGCACTCTGCCATATTTGCAGATGATAAAATCACCTAATGTCACATTTCATAGGATGTATCCCCATGGTTGTGGGGATGACTCTCTCTATACATGTTCATTTGTATTTAAAAAAAAAAAAAAAGGGAGAGGTCAGGTGCTGTGGCTCACACCTATAATCCTGGCACTCTGGGACGGTGAGGCAGGCGGATCCCTCAAGTTCAGGAGTTTGAGACCAGCCTCAGCAAGAGTGAGACCCTGTTTCTACTAAAAACAGAAATATAGCTGGGCATTGTGGTGGGCACCTGTAGTCCTAGCTACCCATGAGGCTGAGGCAAGAGGATGGCTCAAGCCCAGGAGTTTGAGGTTGTGTGAGCTATGACGCCACGGTATTCTACCCAGGATGACAGAGTGAGACTCTGTCTTAAAAAAGAAAAAAAAAAAAAGGCGCTAAGCCAGAAGTAAATGAGATTAGTTAGCTGGAGGACTAGGTGGAAGTGGGGTAGGAAGGAGGAGAAAATGGAAATGGGATAGAAGAAATGAGGGAGAAATGCCAATTCTCTGAGCAGACGCTGGTAAATAACTGATCTCTCAGCATAGCCCTGACTCTTAGAACATCATCAGTGTTTCACATATTCCCCCAGAATAAGGGTTCAAATCAACCAGAATGTGGGGGAAATTCAAAACAAAATGCAAACCCAGCTTAGTTCCAGATTGAAAACTGAACCACACTTAGGAGACAGAGAAGAAAAAACTAACCTAAATAACTTTAGACAAAAAGTTTAAAGATTAAGACAAAAAGAACTGAACACAATATAATATTCTGGCTGGCTACAGTATTTGTAAGGATCAAGACAGAAAGAACTGCATGCAATATTGCACTCTAGTAAATTTATGTTTCGGAAGGACAGGAGTTGGCAATTCCGAAACCACTTTCTGTGTACACGAGGACTGAGTGGCTAAGTAAACATTCAGGAGGATGTGGGGGAAATGGCAAAAGAAACAAGAGAAACCTTTCATAGATCCAGGAGAGAAAGCAGCAAACACCCAAAGGCCCAATGGTTATCTTCCAACCCAAATTTCTATTTCTCACAGAAGATTTTTAATTAAATGAAAAGCAGTCTATGAAAAGCAGTCTATAAAAACAGCAACTTTTTAGTTCATGAGGCCACACTCCTAACAAACTACACAACTGGCTCAGCACCCATAGCACAGTGGTTACCGAGCAGGCCACATACACAGAGGCTGGCGGGCTGGCAGGTTCTAAGTGGTCCGGGCCAGCTAAACAACAATGACAACTGCAACAACAACAATAACAAAAAAAAGTTGGGTGTTCTGGTGGGCACCTGTAGTCCCAGCTACTTGGGAGGCTAAGGCAAGAGAATCACTTAAGCCCAAGAGTTTGAGGTTGCTTTGAGCTGTGACACCACAGCACTCTACCGAGGGCAGCATAGTGAAACTGTCTCAAAAAAGAAACTGCCCAATTACACCCAAACCCCAAAATTATTAAAATAGCGTTTCAAGAATTTATTGTAGTCAAATTAACATGACAGATAGACATTTACTATATAAAAAATTTTTTTAAAAATACATAGTATTTTGATTTCTCTTATTTTTCCCCTCAATATTAATCAACCCTCACTTTAAGGATAGTGCTATGGAAATATGCTTTAAGCATTTCATAAATGCAGATTTTAGAAACATTTTATAATTCTTTAAAAAGTAGGGTAGAAATTTACTCCGAAGTTTCAAGGCTTTTACCAGGCCATTTTACTATTCATTATCACGAAGGATTAACTGAGGACCCTCCATGTGCCAGGAAACTCACTGAGCACGGACAGAAGTGGCCAAGCACTTAGCACATTAATAAAACAAACCTAACTCACGATAAAGCACATACCACGCAATAACCTGTTGTATGTCAATAAATTTTTGGTGAATAAAGAAAAATCTTACAGTAGGTCTCTTAACCTCACAGGAATAAGTTCTATTTTACAGTGAGCAATTCAGAGTTAGGAGTTGACCAAGACAAGCCGACAATAGAAGCTGCTTCCTGGCCTGGCTCAGTGGTTAGGACGCTGGCCACATGCACCAGGGCTGGTAGGTTTGAACCCAGCCCGGGCCTGCGAAACAACAATGACAACAACAACAAAAAAAAATAGCAGGGTGTTGTGGTGGGTGCCCAAAAATAAATAAATAAAAATTAAAAAAAAAAAGAAAGCTCTCTTCCTGATTCGAGTCTTCTCGTCCTGATTCATTCTGGATTCATTTTGTAATACTGTAAATTATGGTTTTAATAAATTCAGCAAATGCAAAAATACAATACTCATTATATCAATTATA